ATATGTCAAACCAAAAGGAAACCTATATTCCAGAAATATCATTTCTAAGGGGTGTCACCTGCGGTGGCAGGGAAACTAGCCCCATGATGGCGAATGTATGAAACACGTCAGAGAGGGGACCCAGAGCCGTCTGACAGTTATAAGCTGCCTTCAGAGTCAAACATCAGTGAGGCAGAAGAACAGCTGGAGCCTGTTCCCAGTGTGCGCATGCACAGAGTTGCCAGACGAAGGGAACAGCTAAAGAACAGGGGCCGACTTAGGAGTAAGGCTACAGAAGGATGGTGAATGGCCCCTCCCATCAGGAATAAAAGAGGAGCAAAAGGGGAGTGGAGTTTGCAGGAGACAATTCATTCGTTCGTTCGTTTCAGGAGTGTGCAGATCTGTCCGTGAATCTCAGAGACTCTGTGCCCAGTCTTTCCTTGCACAGCACCTCGTTTGGGAAATATCGAAATGGCAGCTTTCCAAGCTAGATAAGGTCTGTGGTCATAAATACTCCTTTGAAAGACTGTTTGCCAGGCCTTGGCTGAAGGTGAATGAGAGGAATCCACCTGCGTTCAATAAAAGGGGTTTTGTCGGGATCTGCTTGGTGCTTTTGGGGGTAGCCTCGGTCAGAACAGGATCTAGGATCCCACCAAGTTTCCTTGCACGGTCAATGACCAGAGGTGATGGGAAGTGTCATCCAACATCTGGATCCAACATCTGGAGAAAATGCAATTTATTTTTTCCAAATACGGACTACATCAAGATAGGTTGGCCTCATGAGTCAGAAAATCCATCCCACGGAAAAAAACCAGAAGTCTGTTTTATTGAGATTGGTTAAAATAATACACAGGTAGGTCCTCGACTTACGACCATAATGGACCCCTCAATGCCTGTGGCTCAGTGAGACGTCTGTTAAGCGTGCCTCATTGTACGACCTTTCTTGACACAGTTGCTAAGCGAATCACTGCAGTTGCTAAGATAGTCGTTAAGTTGCAAGGGTGCTGGAAAGAAGTAACTTACGACCGTTTTTCACACTTACGACGGTAGCAGTGTTCCCCACAGTCAGGTGATCCAAAGTCAGACGCTTGGCAACTGACTCGTATTTATGACGGCTGGGGTGCCCCTTTTGCGACCTTCTGACTTGCAAAGTCAGTGGGGAAGCCAAGGTTCACTGAACACTGCAGTGATTCGCTTAACAACAGCAACCGAGGGAGGTCGTAAAACAAGGCAAAACTCACTCGACAGATTTCTCACTTAACGACATAAATTTTGGTCGTAGGTCAAGGACTACCTGCATTAACCTAGATAGTGAAGGTATTTTAGAATTATTTTTCCCCAGGATGGGTGATTAATTAAAAGGGTTTTTCTTCGCCTTAATGTTATCTTTAATTCTGTTTCACCATCGTTCGCAAGGAACTAATTGCCTTCAATAACCTTTTCTGCGTTCAGGAATAAAGAACTTTGGCAGAACAAATTAAAAAAAAAAACAATAATACGAGCGGGTGGGAAAAGAGAAGGGAAAAAAATTAGAATACCGTAGAAGGGAGAAGGGAGAAGAAAGGACAAAATATTGTGAATTTTAGATACAGAGAAATAGCATCTGGCTATCATTCCCTCCATCAAGGCTGCCCCCTGGTGGCTAGACGGTGGAACATCCCAATGGAAGGAAAACTGGGTTTTTTTTATACAGGTTGTTCTGGATTTAACCATCGTTCGTTTTGTGACGGTTCCAAGTTACAACAGCACTAAAAAAAGGGGGCCTTGTGGCCGTTTTTCACACTTAAGACCACCCCCCATGCTCACATGATTGAAATTCAAATGCTTGGTAAATGACTTTGTCCTGAATGGTATATGGACTCCTGCCTGAGCAGGGGGTTAGACTAGAAGACCTCCAAGGTCCCTTCCAACTCTGTTGTTCTGTTTTATTATTCTTCCTTCCTTGCTTCCTTGCTTCCTTCTTTCTCCATCATTGGAGCTTTTTAAGAGACTGGACAGTCACTTGTCTGAAATGGTGTAAGGTCTCCCGCTTGAGCAGGGGACTGGACTAGAAGACCTCCAAGGTCCCTTCCAACTCTGTTGTTCTGTTTTATTATCCTTCCTTCCTTGCTTCCTTCCTTCCTTCCTTCCTTCTCCATCATTGGAGCTTTTTAAGAGACTGGACAGTCACTTGTCTGAAATGGTGTAAGGCCTCCCGCTTGAGCAAGGGGTTAGACTAGAAGACCTCCAAGGTCCCTTCCAACTCTGTTGTTCTGTTTTATTATCCTTCCTTCCTTGCTTCCTTCCTTCTTTTTAAGAAGAGACTAGGCAGCCATTTGTCTGAAAGGATACAGGGTCTCCCGCTTGAGCAGGGGGTTGGACTAGAAGACCTCCAGGGTTCCTTCCAACTCTGTTATTCTGTTATGTTGTTATCCTTCCTTCCTTCCCTCCCTCCCTCCCTCTTCTATCACTGGAGCTTTTTAAAAAGAGACTGGACAGCCATTTGTCTGAAAGGGCACAGGGTCTCCTGCTTGAGCAAGGGGTTGGACTAGAAGACCTCCAAGGTCCCTTCCAGCCCTGTTATTCTGGATACAACCTAAAGAATGTAGGTCCAGAAATGTTCCAGTACCGTAACTGAAGCTGTACTGGTTTCCAGCAATGACAATTCACGCCCAGCACAAATGGAGTTTCCAGCTACTATTCAAAGCTATTTTTCATGGCCAATAATAACAAGGGAAGGTGAGAGTGGAAAAACACTAATTTACCGATTTGCACAGTTCTTTCCATTTTTTCCCGTGAAACCAAAGGTCTCACCGAAGGTATAGAAAATTGAAAAGCAGACTGCTGTAAACTGCACCACCAATCTAAATTCATTTATCACGGAGGAGACACTTTTAAATCCTATTTCAAGGAGCTAAATGGGAAAACAGGAAAATTGTGATCAGACCGTGCCTTTTCTCTTTTTTCAAAAATTAGCCACAGTAACATCGGCCCTTCACGATAATCTCAGTTATCCTGGTGCCAATCTTTATATAACGCGTGTTACGAAATGCCTGCTGTCCAGGCACAAAATCAAGAGACTGGCAATACGTTAAATAATTTGCCTTTTTTAAACTGCAATATTATTAAAAGGAATAAACGTTCGGCAGCTGCAGTACATTAGATTCATCCCGAAATCTTACGCTTGTTTAAATGGGTCTAGAATACAGAACAAGAGGGTTGAAAGGGACCTTGGAGGTCCTCTAGTCCAGCCCCCTGCTCAGGCAGGAAACCGTGTACCATTGCAGAGAAATGATAAGGAAGGAAGGAAGGAAGGAAGGAAGGAAGGAAGGAAGGAAGGAAGGAAGGAAGGAAGGAAGGAAGGAAAGGCTGAGGAGGGAGAGAGGGAAGAGAAAGAGGAAGGAAGGAAAACAGAATAATAGCAATAGCAGTTAGACTTATATAC